CGCCATCATCATCAGCATCAGCATCAGCATCAGCATCAGCATCATCATCATCACCATCGAAGCCGTCATCGCCGACGTCGATCTCCTGATCATCATCGTCATGCTCTGTCTCCTCCTCATCCGAATCCTCATTATGATCCTGATCCTAAGTATCATCATCACCAGCAGCAGCATCCTCAGCACTATCATCATCATCATCATCATCATCATCATCATCATCATCATCATCATCATCATCATGAGCAGCAGCAGCAGAAGCAACAGCATCATAATCGACATCATCACCGTCGTCATCATCATCGTCATCATCACCACCAACACCATCATCATCATCATCATCATCATCATCATCATCATCAGCAACAACATCACCATCCCCACCACAACCACCGCCACCACCATCACCATCCTCATCATCAGAATCATCATCCTCAACAACAGCATCATCAGCAGCAGCATCATCATCAGCATCAGCATCATCATCATCAGCATCATCATCATCTTGCTCCTGCCCCTTGTCTTTCTGGATGGGCATCCCGAGGAGGAGGCGGAGGAGAGGGAGGAAGACGAGGATGCGGACAAGGAGGAGGAGGAGGAGGAAGAGGAGGGGGAGGGGAGCAGGAGGAGATAAGCGGAGCAGGAAAATGAGGCGGAGGAGGAAGAGGAGAGGGAGCAGGAGAGACGGAGGAGCAAGAGAATAATGAGGAGCAGGTCAATGAAGAAGAGGAGGCGGAGGAGAAGGCCAAGGAGGAGGAGGGCTGATGGAGGAGGATGGAAGAGGATGGAGGAGGAGGATGGAGGAGGAGGATGGAGGAGGAGGATGGAGGAGGAGGACGGACAAGAAGGATGGGTGAGGAAGATGAAGCAGGGCAGGCCTCCCGGAGAGCGCCGCACTCGCGCTCCAGGGCGATGCAGGCCCGCTCGGTGCTCTCCGCCTGTCCGTGTCGCGGCAGGTGACGACGACGGCGGCGGCGGCGGCGACGCCGACGCCGACGCCGACGACGACGCCCACGCCCACGCCGACGCCGACGCCGACGCCGACGGAGGCGGAGGCGGATGCAGAGGCGGAGGCGGCGGCAGCGACGGCGGCTGCGGCGACGGCGGCGGGGAAGGGAGGAGGGGGGGGGAGGAGGGACAGGAGGGGGGGGAGGGAGGAGGGAGGAAGGGCAGGAGGAAGAGCAGGAGGAAGAGCAGGAGGAAAATGGGGAGGAAAGGAGAACGGAGGACGGAGGGCGGAGGACGGAGGATAAAGGGGACGGAGGGAGGAGGACGGAGGAGGACGGAGGACGGAGGAGGTGAAGGAGGAGGTGAAGGAGCACCTGAGAGGCCGCCCCTGCTCCGTGTCCCATTGCGCTGATTCTGTATCTATCCGCCGACGGGTGTCCTAGCGGACCTGGAGCTGTGTAACTTGCACTATCCGCCAACGAGGTCCGACAGAGAGGTCTCCCCAAAGATAAGAGCCAGCAGACAGAAGTGTTGTCTCGTTGTGTGACCCTCAGCGAATGCTTCTGGCGCCGTGGGAGCTGCGTGAGCCAGAGGAAGAGGGGGAGGAGGAAGGAGGAGGAGGAGGAGGAGCAGCAGCAGCAGCAGCAGGAGGAAAAGGAGGAGGCGACAACGGCAAGGAAGGAATCGGATCCATGAACATGGCCCGCTCTGGACCGAGAGCGCCATTCTGAACGACAGGAGAAAGCGCCGATTCTGAAACAAGGCCATCCCTGCAGAGGGCGCAACCTATTCAGAGAAGTAACAAAAAACTAACAAAACATCAAATTGAACTTTGCGTGAACGGATATCATGCGGGAGAGACGACGCATGGCTCGCACAAAATCCGGGTAGAGAGGAGAGGAGTGCTCATTTTGAGTAAGTGCAGGGAGGGAGACAGAGACGAAGAGAGAGAGAGAGGAGAGAGTATGAGAGCCAGAATATACGTATACCTGTATACGCGTGGAGAGAGAGAGAGAGAGAGAGAGAGAGAGAGAGAAAAAAACAAAAAAAAAAAAAAAAAAAAAAAAAAACTACAACGAATAGAGAGACGAGGGAGACGAGAAAGACAAGAGAAACGAGATAGAGCCAGACCCACGAGACGAGACACATGAAAAAGAGAGAGAGAGAGGCAGAAAGAGAAAGAGAGAGAGAGAGAGCAAAAAAACGAGAGAAACGAGAGAGACGGGAGAGACGGATATAGGAGAGAGAGAGAGAGAGAGACGGGAGAGACGAGAGAGAGGCGGGAGACAGAGAGAGAGAGAGAGAGAGACGGATCAGAGGGGAGAGAGGGGAAAGAGGTCAAAGAGGAGAGAGACGCGAGGAGAAGGAAGAGAAGAAGGAGGAGGGAGACGACGACGATGACGACGACGACGACGACAACCCGTGCAGGCGGCCGCCTCCAGCCTGCAGACGGCGGCATCCAGCGCCGGCACGCCTTTTGGGGGGGGGGGGCACTGCCACTGCACATCTCTCGCCGTCGCCACCCACACGACCCCTTCCTCGACACTCCTCCTCCCCCTCCTCCTCCTCCTCCTCCTCCTCCCCCTCCTCCTCCCCCCCCCCCTCCTCCTCCCCCTCCTCCTCCTCCTCCTGACACTCCTCCTCCCCCCTCCTCCCCCTCCTCCTTGCTCTTCTCCTCATCATTCCTCCTCATCATTCCTCCTCATCCCCTTCCTCCTCATCCCCTTCCTCCTCGTCTCCCTCCTCGTCTCCCTCCTCGTCTCCCTCCTCCTCCTCCTCCTCCTCCTCCTCGCCCCCGATCCTGAGCCTCCTGATCCTCCGCGTCCCCTCCTCGCCCTCCCTCGGTCCCGTTGCATCGTCCCGTCCTCCCTGGTCCGCCTCGTCCTCGTCGTTCTCAGCGTCCTCGCTCTCGTTCTCGCACTCCTTCTCCTCTTTTTCATCATGACCCTCCTGGGGGGAGACTCACTGTCTATGTTTCTGCATGTACATTTTACATATACCTGCATGTTGACCATCGTGGGCCCCTAGACAGAGCCTTCTTGCAATATATGTGGTGCGATCGAAGTGGCGCAGGCAATGTGGTGCAAAGCTACGCGGTGCAATCCATGGGGTGCAACCTATGTGGCGCAAAACAATACAAAGCAATGCAAAGCAACGCAGCGCAACGCGAAGAAATGCGAAGCAATGCAAAGCAATGCAAAGCAATGCAAAGCAATGCAAGAAATGCAAAGCAATGCAAAGCAATGCAAAGCAATGCCAAGCACAGCAAGGCAAAGCAATGCGAAGCAATGCAAAGAAATGCAAAGAAATGCAACACAATGCAAAGCAATGCCGCGCAATGCCGCACAATGCGGCGCAATGCAAAGTAATGCAAATGAATGCAGGGCAATGCAAAGTAATACAATGCGATGCAAAGTAATGCAAAGCAATACGAAGCAGTTCAAAGCAATGCGTATCAGTTCAAAGTAATGCTAATCAATGCAACGCAACGCGAAGCAATGCAAAACAATGCAAAGCAATGCTAAGCAATGCAAAGCAATGCAAACAAATGCGGATCAATGCAAAGCAATACTAAGCGATGCAAAACAATGCAAAGCAACACGGAGCAATGCAAAGCAATGCAAACTATTGAAAAAAATACAGAAGCAATGCAACGCAATGCAACGCAGTGCAACGCAATGCTAAGCAATGCTAGGTTTGCAATGCAAAGCAATGCGAAGCAATACTAAGCAACCCTCAGTGCAAGCACTGTTTGGGGACCCTGTGGATCGAGGGACGGTCGCCGCAGGCCTGGGGAGCCCGCCTCCCCTGGGGGCGCCACCCGCTCCGGACGAATGCCCAGGTTGGGGCCACGACACCTTGATCCTGCTACCGCTCATCGTCGTCGACGTCGTCGTCGTCGTCGTACACGTCGTCGTCGTCGTTGTCGTCGTCGTCATCGTTGTCGTAAACGTCGTCGTCGTCGTCATCGTCGTCGTAAACGTCATCGTCGTCGTCGTCGTCGTCGTCGTCGTAAACACCGTCGTCGTCATCGTCGCTGTCGTTCTCGTCGTCGTAGCCGTCGTCGTCGTCGTAAACGTCGTCGTCGTCATCGTCGTCGTAAGCGTCGTCGTCGTCATCGTCGTCGTCATCGTCGTAAGCGTCGTTGTCGTCGTCGTCGTAAACGTCGTCGTCGTCGTAAATGTCAATGTCGTCGTCGTCATCGTCGTCGTGGTCGTCGTCGTTATCGTCGTCGTCATTGTCGTAAACGTCGTTGTCGTCGTCATCGTCGTCGTAAACGTCGTCGTCGTCATCGTCGTAAACGTCGTTGCCGTCGTCGTCGTCGTCATCCTCCTCCTCCTCCTCATCATCATCATCAACATCATCAACAGCATCATCATCATCATCATCGTCATCATGAGAATCGTCATCGCCCCCGTCCTCCTCGTCATAACTATCGTCGTTACCATCGGTTATCGTCAGCAGAACCATCAGCACCATCACCATCATCGCCAAAGCAGCAATCATTAACAATATCATCATCACCCCAACCACCACCACCACCACCGTCGTCATCGTCATCATCATCATCATCATCATCATCATCATCATCATCATCATCATCATCATCATCATCATCGTCGTCATCGTCATCGCCATCGTCATCATCATCATCATCATCATCATCATCATCATCATCATCATCATCATCATCGTCATCGTCATCATCATCATCATCACCATCACCATCACCATCATCATCATCCTCATCATCATCATCATTATCATCATTATCATCATCATCATCATCATCATCATCATCATCATCATCATCATCACAATCATGATCATCATCATCATCATCAGCATCATCACCACCATCATCAGCATCATCATAATCGTCATCAGCATCATCATCATCATTGTCATCATCATCACCAACACAGTCGTTATCGCCGTCGTCGTCGTCGGGATCATCATGATCATTATCCTCATCATCATCGCCACCACCATCATCGGCATCGTCAGAATCACCAGCATCATCACCATAATCGTCATCACCACCATCATCATCAGAAGCATCATCATCGTCATCATCGTCAACATCGTCGTCGTCCTCGTCATCACAATCCTCATCGCCATCAACATCCGCATCACATTCACCATCATCACACACGCAGCCACCATCACCACCATCACAAAGATCAGTCAGTACCTTCATCACCATCATCACCAACACCTTCACCATCACCGTCTCTCTCACAATCACGAAAATCATATGAATCCCGTCACTTTCCTTGTCATCTCCTCGCCCACCCCATCCGCCTCATTCTCTTCCTCGTCATGACATTCCTCCGATTTCTTATCCGCATGTTCCTCGTCCGCCCCGTCCCCCTCGTCCTCGACCTCCTCCTCCGCCTGCTCCGCTTGCTCTGGCTCGAATCGGTGCTTTTTGGTGATTGCCCAGGCGTGTCCACAGCCATCCTCCCGATGTCGCATCTTCAAATTCATCCTGCCACTCCTCCTTCTTCCCTTACGCGACGGCATCGGCCGCCTCTCAAACCGAAGCCGCACCGCCGCATGCCCCGCGGGCCGGCGCGCGCCGCTCCGGGACCCCGCGCACGCCAGCGGAGGTCGTTTCCGGGGGGGGGGGAGGCCGAGGACCAACTCTTTTTCTCTGTTCCTCTTTCTCCTTGATCTCACCTGAGGGAGGCACAAGGTAGAGTGGGAGGATCGAGCGGGACGGCCCCCTTGTCAATGGACGTCGCCGCGGTTGCCGTCGCAGGCGTCCACGGTGGTACCGCTGCTATCGACTGCGCGCCCCATCATCTGCGCGGTCGAGACGCGGTAGGCGCGGGTCGATTCGGTGGGCTTGTAGTTTTGGTCGGCCAACGGACCGTAGGTTTCCAGGTCGTACGCGCAGCAGCGCCCAAAGCTTTCGTGGGCGTGCGAGTAGTAGCCTCTTCGGCTGGTGTAGCATTCCCGCGACTCTTGCCATAGCCGCGCGAACTGTCGCCCCAGTAGGTGGCATCGCGTTCTCCAGCTCTTGACTTCCCTTGTCGCAGGAGTATGAATCGTGGCTGCCGAAAAACTATCGCAAACTGCGGTTGCCTTTGCAGGACGCCTTGGCTTTCGGCGGCTGCGAGTAGTCTCCGGGCTTGCCTTTCGACGGATTGCACTCTCCCTTTTATGCGGGTGCCTTTCCCTTTGCCCGTCGTCTTCAGGGTAACCTGGAAAGTGCGCTTTTGAATGTCGTCTTTCGGGCCATCCTCATCCCCCTCGTCGCTGCTCTCGTTCTCCTCGTCGCTCTCGTCGGACTCACTGGCCCCGTCATCTTTCGTCGCTCTCGTCGGGGGTTGCCTGCAAGGACCTTCTCAGCTCGGCAGCAGTAGTGAGCCCCTGTTGCACGTCCCCTGGCTGCTTGTGCACGTTGTCGGGAAAGCATTCGCCCGCGTAGATGAATTTGGCCGATGCGCCCCTGGGACCGAGCGCGTCGGTCTACGCCTCGATGCTGTCGACCTTTGCCGTGAAACCACGCACGTCCACCGGCATGAGCACAGCGTCGTCCGCGAAGCCGTCGGGGCCCGGCAGCTTGAGAATGAAATCCCCGGCGACTTTGAAGGCGCACCCCGTCCGCAGCTGGCGCCTGAGGCGGTTGAGAGCCCGCTCGTGAACAAAGACGTGGACCTCCAGGCTCTCGCCGGCTCCCACTGCGTCTTGCCTGCGGCGGCGTTGTAGTAGTAGGTTAGTAGGTACTGCCAGTAGCAGGTTAGCAGGTACTGCCCCTGCCGGGGTCGACCGCGCTCTGCCAGCCATCGGGCAAGGGCCCCTGGCTCGGCCGCCCCATTGCGTGTCGCCAGTGCCAGCGTCGTAGTAGTAGGTATTGCCGCTGGCGGGTCCAACCGCGCTCCGCCAGCCATCAGCTGGTTGCTCTCATAGCTCTGCTGGTGGCCCTCGAAGCTCCGCTTCTTGCAATCGTAGCTCTGCTTGTGGCCCTCGCAGCTCAGCCGCTTGCTGTCGAGGCTCTGCTTGGTGCTCTCGCAGCTCTGCTTGCGGCCCCACTGGCCCTGGTGGTTGCCCTCGGAGCTCTGCTTCTTGCTGGGGTAGCTCTGCTGCTGGCCGTCGCGGCCCTCCAAGTGGTTCTCGAAGCGATGCTTCCTTACGCCATGACTCTGCTGGTGGCCCTCCTCGCTCAGCTGGCGGCCCTCGAAGCTCCGCTGGCGGCCCTCGCAGCTCTGCCCGTGGTTCTCGGAGCTCCGCCGCTCGCCGCCGCAGCTCGGCGGGTGGCCCGCGAAGCTCGGCTGCTTGCCCTCGCAGCTCTGCTCGGTGCACTCGTGGCCGTGCCAGTGGCCCTCCGAAGCGATGCTTCTTGCTCCTCCTCCCCCTCCCCCCCCTCCTCCTCCTCCTCCTCCTCCTCCTCCTCCTCCTATGGGGCATCTCTTTGGGTGGTTCTTGAAGCTCTGCTGCCTGCCGCCGTAGCCTTGCTGGTGGCCATGGTAGCTGTGCTGGAGGTTCTCGGAGCTCTGCTTCTTGCAGTCGTAGCTCTTCTGGTGGCCCCTGGAGGTCAGCGAAGTCCCAGTAGGCGTCCAGGCCGTCGTAGCTCGTGTGGCCGAAGTGTGCAGTTGTCGTCGTCCAGGCCGTCGTAGCCGAGGTTGCCGTCGTGGCCCTGCACGTCGTTGCAGTCGCCAGTGCCTGGCACCTGAACAACGATGTGTTTGCATTCATGCTGCCTGCCACGCAGCTCCTTGTCGCACGAATCGCAGTTGTAGGCGCTCATGGCCTCGTGCAGCATCGCCATCACGTTGGTGCCAGCGCCAGCGCGGGCAGCTCCGTGCGCCGCCGCCTCGAGCGCGACGTATCGCCGGCGCCGCGCGGCCTGGCGGGCCACAGAGGGGCCCAACGCGGCGATATCTGCCTCGCGCATCGTGCTGGGCCGCCTCGTGTTCGAGCAGCCCCCCGCGGTCGCCCGCGAGTGCCAGGGCGCCATCGCGCGCCTGAGACCGTGCGGGCCAAGGCCGGCCCCTCTGGTGGCATGCGCGCGCGGCCTTGCTACTCTTCCCCCTTCTCCTCCTCCTTCTCCTCCTCCTCCTCAACCTTCTCCTCCCCCCCTCCCCCTCCTGGGTCACTCCGAGTCGCTCCCGGTCGGGCTCCGTCCTCCCCGTCCCTCCTCCGCCTCGTCCACAACGTCTTCCTGCTCGCTGTGTTCATGTTGCTGCTCCTCCTCCGCCGCCAATCTGGAGGCCCGAAGGGCTTTTTGGAAACCCTGAGAGGAGGAGGAGGAGGAGGAGGAGAAGGAGGAGGAGGAGGAGGAGGATGAGGAGAAGGAGGAGGAGGAGGAGGAGGAGGAGGAAGAGGAGGGGGAGGGGGAGGGGAGGGGGAGGAGGAGGGAGGGGAGACGATTTGCTCATCCTCTGCTTTTGCTCCTCTGCTGCTCGTCCTCGTCTGCGGAGCTGCTTCTGGGCGCACCGTCCACAGCACCGCGGTGCGATCGCAGGCGCGTGGCCGCGGCCTGGACGGCGTCGGCGGAGGCCTCCGTGCGAGAGGCAGGGGAGCACATGCGAGAGGGCATGGGCGAGGAGGAAGCGGCAAGACAAGAAACGAGCGGGAGGAGGGTGAGGCAACTGAGTCGGAGGGAGGAGGAGGAAGGTGAGGACGAGGAGGGGGTAGGGGAAGAGAGGAGGAGGAGAGAGGAGGAGGAGGAGGAGGAGGAGGAGGAGGAGGAGGAGGAGGAGGAAGAGGAGGAGAAGGAGGAGGAGGAGGAGGAGGAGGAAGGAGGAGGAAAGGGAGGAGAAGGAAAATGGTGAGGACGAGGAGGAGGAGGACGAGGAGGCGGGGAAGGAGGGAGATGAGGCGGAGGCGGGAGGGGGGGGAAGGGGAAAAAAGTAGAATGAGGGCAAGGACGAGGAAGCGGACGACAAGGACGAGGAGGAGGAGGAGGAGGAGGCAGAGGAGGAAGCGTAGGATGTAGGAGGAGGCGTAGAAGAAGGACAGGGGATAGGGGAGGCAGAGGTGGTGACTTGCATGCTCGGACGCTGCGTTCTGAGACGGTTACCACTGGGGCCGCGTGCCCCCCCCAAGACAAAGCCGCTCTCCAACTTTGAGCTCCTGCGCAGACATACGTAAGGATTCGTTGCAGGTGGGCAGGAAACAAAACCCTACAGATAGCACAACTGTGCATCCGCAACGGCCTGCGCATCGATCTTCCACCCTCAGGCACCACCACTGCCCCTTTTGAAGCCGCCCACAATCAAGTTATTAGTACACAGGGCATACATGCATGCACAATACCCAACGCCTGGTGTAATGATTTGGACAGCAATACAATATCAACTTCTGACACCAACAACACCATGAGGAAACAAAACAAAAAAATACCTGCGTGTCTAGCCAGCCTACTGTGAGCGCCATGCTTGGGAATGACCAACCAAGTAGGTACTGCCACCGGCCCCACCCCACCCCACCCGCCCCGAGCCTGTCATTCGGGGACCCGCGCACAACACCCGCCTGCCGCCCATCGCCACGACGATCGCCACAGCGGAAATCACGACTCCGGCCGCAGCCGCAGCTGCGGCGGCGGCCGCGGCGCGAGCGGCCGCGGCGGCGGGGCCGCACGGGCGCCGGCGCAGCGGCGGCGGCGCGCCGCTGCGGCGCCGCTGCGGCAGCGACCGCGGCGACGCGGCGGCGGTGCGGCGGCGACCGCGGCGGCGGCTGCGACGGCTGCGGCGGCAGCGGCCGCGGCGGCGCCGCCGAGGCGGCGGCGAGGCGCGGCGCAGGGCCTCTGCGGCCGCGAGGGCGTCGCAGGTGCTGGGGGCGTGCGCGAGCGCGGCGAGGGCGTCGGCGGCGGCGGCGGCCACGGGGTGGCGCTCGCGGAGCAGGCGCCTCCGGGCCGTGTCCCGCGGTTCGCCCTCGCCCTTGCTGAAATCTTCGTCTCTCCTTCGTCCGCTTGCCCCCCCGCCTCTTCCTCGTCCTTGCTGGAACTGTGCCCTCGGCCCTTGAGGGCGGATGGGGGGGGGGGGGCGTTCGGACGCGGCGGGGGAGGTCTTGTCCTAAGCTTCGCCCCTCCACTTGTCCCTCGTCCAAAGTTCTGCCCTCGGCCCTCGAGGACTGAGGGGGGGTGGCGTTCGGACGTCTCGGGGGAGGTCTTTGGGCCTTTGGAGGGTCCTTTGTGGGTCCCGCGGACCTCCAGAGGGGGCCCCCGCGGACCTCCACAGGTCAGGATCCCGTCGTCGTCGTCGTCGTCGCGTTCGCCTTCCTCCTCCTCCTGCTGATGCTGACGCTGGCGCCTCCTCCTCCTCCTCCTCCTCCTCCTCCTCCTTTTCCTCCTCCTCCTAGGTCGCTGCAAGGGGGGTCACAAAGCATACCGACCGTACCTCACGTACAACTGTACAGCAGCACCGTTGCACCCCCAGACCACAGGCTTCGGGAGCAGGGAGACTGGGGGGCCTCATGGCGGCGTCCGTCATCATCGCACGATGAGAATTTGCTACTACAACCCACTGGAGGCCGGCACGCTGGAACGATTGGAAGATATTAGTGCTGAACTTCACAGTTGGGACGTCATACTACTCAGTGGTACGTGCCGCTGGGCAGGACCAGAGGCTGTACAACGTAACTACCTCCCCTCCCACACCGTCCTACATTTTGGGGCCCGAATGGGGAAGTGAGTCAACAAAAGCTGTGGAACGGCCATACTAATAAGCCATAGAATAAACGAGAGAACCATCCGCGAGATCTACACCCCACCCAACTACCTCCAGGGACGTGTGGCAGGAGTCCGACTAACTACGACCCACTACGACTACGCCCTCTACGTATGCTATTACGCCCCTGCCCATCAGCGTTGCTACCCTTTGCTGGCGGACAGCCATACCCACTGGTTGGAAGAAAGTACAGACAAACTAGGATGCCGCACTACAGTAGTACTGGGGGGGCGACGTCAACAGCGATTTCGGCTGCCACAGGGAACTAGACGGTTCCATCGTCTGCGGTAAGGGCCCCACAGTGGGCCCCCCGTCGGGGCTACGTACTACGGCCACTCTGGGTACACCAGCAGGGCGGACCACATTGCTATCCCTGCAGGCAGCCTCCCCCCAGTAAAACGGTGCGAAGTACTACACCTGTCAGGTAAACGACTACAGAAGATCAAAGTGCGAGGCCATCGCGACCACGTCCCAATTGGCCTCACCCTCCTCGCCTCCACCTCCACCACCGCCTTCCCACCCCGCGCCCGCTTACAACAGGGACTATGCAGGGATGGGCTTAGGGACTGCCTGCGCAGCGGTCACAAGCGAGGCCAGCTGACACAACGGCTGAACCAGGAGGTGCGGGCGGTGGGCAGGGGCAGGTGGGAGGAGGTCCTTGCAGAACCGGCTCCAGGTACTACTTGGGACTTGATAGGAAGCGCAGCAAGAAAGGCACTACTAACCACATTTGCGAAGACGGATGCGACCGACGAACTAGACGAACGAACTACCAGGGCCAAACAACAGAGACTACGACTGCTCGAACAACGAGGAGTGTTGCGATCACGATTGGCCGACGAGAGCTCAGCGATCGAGTACGACGAGGTACAGGCCGAACTAAAGGAGTTGAGTGCTGTCCTAAGGACAGTAAGAGAGAAAGTAGAGAAAGAGAGAAGGGCGCAGATAGTCGGAAATTATCCTGGCGAAGGACCCAACCATATGCAGTTGTGAATAACGCTTTGTGGGTGCCGCTTTCGGTGGGGCTCCCTATGGGGCCACGAAAGGCGTGCCACGAAACGCTGTCCTGGGCGTACGGGACGCATGCGGGCGGTAGCACTGGGGCCTTTGGTGGAGCTCCCTATGGAGCCACGAAACGCTGTCCTGGGCGTACGGGACGCATGCGGGCGGTAGCACTGGGGCCTTCGGTGGAGCTCCCTATGGGGCCACGAAACGCTGTCCTGGGCCCTCGGCGACGAAACGTGTGAGGGGTGTGCCGAAATGGGTGCGGTGCCGCCATGCGAACGCAGCCACTGGGGCTCTCGGTGGAGCTCCCTATGGGGCCACGAAAACGTGTGAGGGGTGTGCCGAAATCGGTGCGGTGCCGCCATGCCAACGCAGCCACTGGGGCCCTCCGTGGAGCTCCCTATGGGGCCACGAAACGTGTGAGGGGTGTGCCGAAATGGGTGCGGTGCCGCCATGCCAACGCAGCCACTGGGGCCCTCGGTGGAGCTCCCTATGGGGCCACGAAACGTGTGAGGGGTGTGCCGAAATGGGTGCGGTGCCGCCATGCCAACGCAGCCACTGGGGCCCTCGGTGGAGCTCCCTATGGGGCCACGAAACGTGTGAGGGGTGTGCCGAAATGGGTGCGGTGCCGCCATGCCAACGCAGCCACTGGGGCCCTCGGTGGAGCTCCCTATGGGGCCACGAAACGTGTGAGGGGTGTGCCGAAATGGGTGCGGTGCCGCCATGCCAACGCAGCCACCGGGGCCCTCGGTGGAGCTCCCTATGGGGCCACGAAACGTGTGAGGGGTGTGCCGAAAGGGTGCGGTGCCGCCATGCCAACGCAGCCACTGGGGCCTTCGGTGGAGCTCCCTATGGGGCCACGAAACGTGTGAGGGGTGTGCCGAAATGGGCGCGGTGCCGCCATGCCAACGCAGCCACTGGGGCCCTCGGTGGAGCTCCCTATGGGGCCACGAAACGTGTGAGGGGTGTGCCGAAATGGGTGCGGTGCCGCCATGCCAACGTAGCCACTGGGGCCAGCGGGGCCACGAAACGTGTGAGCTGGGTGCGGTGCCGCATGCGGCAGCCACTGGGCCTCGGTGGAGCTCCCTATGGGGCCACGAAACGTGTGAGGGGTGTGCCGAAATGGGTGCGGTGCCGCCATGCCAACGCAGCCACTGGGGCCCTCGGTGGAGCCCCCTATGGGGCCACGAAACGTGCGAGGGGTGTGCTGTGATAGTGGGAGGAGGGAGGGGGCAGAGGGAGGAGGAAGGAAGGAGAGGAGACGCGGGGCACCGTCTCTTCA